AGACTGTCCTGCCCTCCTTGGCCGGTGACGACTGATCCACCAAATGAGGCGGAAGTCCGCAAGGAACTCCAACTCTTGAAACGTTACAAATCACCAGGCCCAGACGACTTACCCCCGGCTCTTTTTAAAGATGGTGGTGACTTTCTGACTAAAGGACTGACGACGTTGTTTACAAAGATCTGGGAACTAGAGAGTGTACCAACGTCATGGAATGAGTCGATAGTTGTCCCTATCTTTAAAAAGGGTTCACGTTGTTCCTGTAACAACTATCGGGGGATAAGTCTACTTCCGATTGCGTCCAAGCTATTGGCTTCCGTCATACTTCGTAGGTTGTTCAGAACCCGAGAAGGATTGACTCGCGAGGAGCAGGCTGGGTTTCGTTCTGGTCGAGGATGTATTGATCATATCTTCACCCTCCGCCAAGTGTTAGAACACCGCCATACTTATCAAAGGCCAACAATCGTAGTGTTTCTTGATATCAAGGCTGCTTTCGATTCGTTGGACAGAACTGTTCTCTGGGATTGTCTATTGAAGAAGGGTGTGCCTGAGAAGTTTATTAACATCCTAAAAGCCTTATATACAAACACCTCAGGTAGAGTGAGGGCATACAACCACCTTTCTCCACTATTCCATTCAAGCAGTGGAGTTAGGCAGGGTTGCCCAATCTCACCATTCCTCTTCAACTTTGCCATCGATGACATTCTGGAAACAGCTCTGACGGATGTAAGTAATGGTGGTGTGGATCTGTTGCCTGGAGAAAGACTTCTCGACCTTGAGTATGCGGATGATATTGTCTTACTGTGCGAGAATGCCCAAGCCATGCAATCCGCACTTAATCAGTTGGCAATCAGTGTCCGTAGGTATGGTATGTGCTTTGCACCTTCGAAGTGCAAAGTACTTCTACAAGACTGGCAGGATTCTAATCCTGTACTCACTCTGGATGGTGAGCAGATAGAAGTAGTCGAGAAGTTCGTGTATCTAGGTAGCTGCATAAGTGCTGGTGGTGGCGTGAGTGATGAGATCAATGCACGTATAGTGAAAGCCAGAGCGGCTTATGCCAATCTGGGCCATCTTTGGCGCCTTCGTGATGTTAGTCTGGCTGTAAAAGGTCGGATCTACAACGCGACGGTGAGAGCAGTTTTGCTCTATGCTTGTGAAACCTGGCCTCTCCGAGTTGAGGATGTTCGACGACTCTCTGTGTTCGATCATCGTTGCCTCCGAAGGATTGCTGGCATCCAGTGGCAACACCATGTCAGTAATGCAGAGGTTCGGCATCGAGTGTTCGGTCACAGAGACGATAATGAAATTGGTGTCACCATCTTGAAACACCGACTTCGGTGGCTTGGACATGTTCTACGAATGTCGTTCCAGAGAATTCCTCGTCGTGCATTATTTGCCGACTCTGGGACTGGTTGGAAAAAGCGGAGAGGTGGTCAGTATATGACATGGTGTCGTGGTATGAAAGAAAGCTGCAAAGGGCTAGCTTATGTTGGTCCTTCACGACTCCCTGGTTGGGGTCCGAGAGATGGTGTAACGCAGTGGCTAGAGACGTTATCAGATATGGCTCAGAATAGAAGCCAGTGGCGATCCTGCTGTAACCTTCTTTTACTTTCTTCATAAAAAGGTGGTCGTATTCTTCCTTAACTGAAAGATCTGTTCTGATTGTACCTTTCCGTTTCCCCCACCATTGTTCTCTCTCTCTCTCTTCTTTTTTTTTTATAATTCCCCACGTTCATTACTTTTTTTTTTTTCTTCTCTTTTCTCCTTCTCTTCTAATTATCACTGTTTTGTGTGGCGCATATATATTTGGTGCCCCCCTGTACCAATATTTATGTGTTCAAATAAATAATAAATAAATAAGGTTGACCGTCGATAGGATAGTTTGATTGTTTGATAGTTTGATTGATAGATTGATTGGTGGATTGTTGGATGAATGGATGGATGGTTTTATAGATGTGTTGATGAGTGTTGTTGTTGAAAGTGTTTTTGTGATAATGGTGCTGAAGAGATGGAATAGTTTATAGTTGATGTTTTGATGTGAATGTGGTTAAATTGTGAATTGAGAATGGTTGATTGATAGTAGACAGTGTCAATGCACCTTGATGTTGTCGATCGACTGATCGTGCGATGTCGGTGTAATTGTGACAGGGTGTTTAGAATGCAGAGGATGTTATTGATCTTTCTGCGAACCCACTGTCTTAAATTGATGTTATTTTGGGGTGCTGAAGTTGATATGATTTTGGCCTTACCCGTTCGCACACATTCCATGTTCACCGTTAGTTATAGAAAACTGTGATCGTGTTGACAAACCGTGTGCGAAACATGTTTATGTTTCCTGTGTGAGACGTTTGTGATTGAGTTGAGTGTTGATGTTGATGTTGTTGTTGTTGTTGTTGTTGTTGTTGTTCTAGGAATGTGGTATGATGAGTTTGTTGATGGTGATGTGAATAGTGTTGAGTATTTGTGAGTGTGAGATTGTGTTTATTTTTGACGTGATGTGATTAGGTTGACCGTCGATAGGATAGTTTGATTGTTTGATAGTTTGATTGATAGATTGATTGGTGGATTGTTGGATGAATGGATGGATGGTTTTATAGATGTGTTGATGAGTGTTGTTGTTGAAAGTGTTTTTGTGATAATGGTGCTGAAGAGATGGAATAGTTTATAGTTGATGTTTTGATGTGAATGTGGTTAAATTGTGAATTGAGAATGGTTGATTGATAGTAGACAGTGTCAATGCACCTTGATGTTGTCGATCGACTGATCGTGCGATGTCGGTGTAATTGTGACAGGGTGTTTAGAATGCAGAGGATGTTATTGATCTTTCTGCGAACCCACTGTCTTAAATTGATGTTATTTTGGGGTGCTGAAGTTGATATGATTTTGGCCTTACCCGTTCGCACACATTCCATGTTCACCGTTAGTTATAGAAAACTGTGATCGTGTTGACAAACCGTGTGCGAAACATGTTTATGTTTCCTGTGTGAGACGTTTGTGATTGAGTTGAGTGTTGATGTTGATGTTGATGTTGTTGTTGTTGTTGTTGTTGTTGTTGTTGTTGTTGTTCTAGGAATGTGGTATGATGAGTTTGTTGATGGTGATGTGAATAGTGTTGAGTATTTGTGAGTGTGAGATTGTGTTTATTTTTGACGTGATGTGATTAGGTTGACCGTCGATAGGATAGTTTGATTGTTTGATAGTTTGATTGATAGATTGATTGGTGGATTGTTGGATGAATGGATGGATGGTTTTATAGATGTGTTGATGAGTGTTGTTGTTGAAAGTGTTTTTGTGATAATGGTGCTGAAGAGATGGAATAGTTTATAGTTGATGTTTTGATGTGAATGTGGTTAAATTGTGAATTGAGAATGGTTGATTGATAGTAGACAGTGTCAATGCACCTTGATGTTGTCGATCGACTGATCGTGCGATGTCGGTGTAATTGTGACAGGGTGTTTAGAATGCAGAGGATGTTATTGATCTTTCTGCGAACCCACTGTCTTAAATTGATGTTATTTTGGGGTGCTGAAGTTGATATGATTTTGGCCTTACCCGTTCGCACACATTCCATGTTCACCGTTAGTTATAGAAAACTGTGATCGTGTTGACAAACCGTGTGCGAAACATGTTTATGTTTCCTGTGTGAGACGTTTGTGATTGAGTTGAGTGTTGATGTTGATGTTGATGTTGATGTTGTTGTTGTTGTTGTTGTTGTTGTTCTAGGAATGTGGTATGATGAGTTTGTTGATGGTGATGTGAATAGTGTTGAGTATTTGTGAGTGTGAGATTGTGTTTATTTTTGACGTGATGTGATTAGGTTGACCGTCGATAGGATAGTTTGATTGTTTGATAGTTTGATTGATAGATTGATTGGTGGATTGTTGGATGAATGGATGGATGGTTTTATAGATGTGTTGATGAGTGTTGTTGTTGAAAGTGTTTTTGTGATAATGGTGCTGAAGAGATGGAATAGTTTATAGTTGATGTTTTGATGTGAATGTGGTTAAATTGTGAATTGAGAATGGTTGATTGATAGTAGACAGTGTCAATGCACCTTGATGTTGTCGATCGACTGATCGTGCGATGTCGGTGTAATTGTGACAGGGTGTTTAGAATGCAGAGGATGTTATTGATCTTTCTGCGAACCCACTGTCTTAAATTGATGTTATTTTGGGGTGCTGAAGTTGATATGATTTTGGCCTTACCCGTTCGCACACATTCCATGTTCACCGTTAGTTATAGAAAACTGTGATCGTGTTGACAAACCGTGTGCGAAACATGTTTATGTTTCCTGTGTGAGACGTTTGTGATTGAGTTGAGTGTTGATGTTGATGTTGATGTTGTTGTTGTTGTTGTTGTTGTTGTTCTAGGAATGTGGTATGATGAGTTTGTTGATGGTGATGTGAATAGTGTTGAGTATTTGTGAGTGTGAGATTGTGTTTATTTTTGACGTGATGTGATTAGGTTGACCGTCGATAGGATAGTTTGATTGTTTGATAGTTTGATTGATAGATTGATTGGTGGATTGTTGGATGAATGGATGGATGGTTTTATAGATGTGTTGATGAGTGTTGTTGTTGAAAGTGTTTTTGTGATAATGGTGCTGAAGAGATGGAATAGTTTATAGTTGATGTTTTGATGTGAATGTGGTTAAATTGTGAATTGAGAATGGTTGATTGATAGTAGACAGTGTCAATGCACCTTGATGTTGTCGATCGACTGATCGTGCGATGTCGGTGTAATTGTGACAGGGTGTTTAGAATGCAGAGGATGTTATTGATCTTTCTGCGAACCCACTGTCTTAAATTGATGTTATTTTGGGGTGCTGAAGTTGATATGATTTTGGCCTTACCCGTTCGCACACATTCCATGTTCACCGTTAGTTATAGAAAACTGTGATCGTGTTGACAAACCGTGTGCGAAACATGTTTATGTTTCCTGTGTGAGACGTTTGTGATTGAGTTGAGTGTTGATGTTGATGTTGATGTTGATGTTGTTGTTGTTGTTGTTGTTGTTGTTGTTCTAGGAATGTGGTATGATGAGTTTGTTGATGGTGATGTGAATAGTGTTGAGTATTTGTGAGTGTGAGATTGTGTTTATTTTTGACGTGATGTGATTAGGTTGACCGTCGATAGGATAGTTTGATTGTTTGATAGTTTGATTGATAGATTGATTGGTGGATTGTTGGATGAATGGATGGATGGTTTTATAGATGTGTTGATGAGTGTTGTTGTTGAAAGTGTTTTTGTGATAATGGTGCTGAAGAGATGGAATAGTTTATAGTTGATGTTTTGATGTGAATGTGGTTAAATTGTGAATTGAGAATGGTTGATTGATAGTAGACAGTGTCAATGCACCTTGATGTTGTCGATCGACTGATCGTGCGATGTCGGTGTAATTGTGACAGGGTGTTTAGAATGCAGAGGATGTTATTGATCTTTCTGCGAACCCACTGTCTTAAATTGATGTTATTTTGGGGTGCTGAAGTTGATATGATTTTGGCCTTACCCGTTCGCACACATTCCATGTTCACCGTTAGTTATAGAAAACTGTGATCGTGTTGACAAACCGTGTGCGAAACATGTTTATGTTTCCTGTGTGAGACGTTTGTGATTGAGTTGAGTGTTGATGTTGATGTTGATGTTGTTGTTGTTGTTGTTGTTGTTGTTGTTGTTCTAGGAATGTGGTATGATGAGTTTGTTGATGGTGATGTGAATAGTGTTGAGTATTTGTGAGTGTGAGATTGTGTTTATTTTTGACGTGATGTGATTAGGCCCGACCGTAGCTGCTACCTTGACGTGGTGGTCGGGCTTGCCTATCGTGATGACCCAACCGAGCCATATTGGCTGGAACTCAAGTTCCTGCAGGTTCTACCATGCCAGGCAGGTCGTTTGGAAAACGGTAAGACTAAAAGCAGCAACTCAAGGTCTGAGGGCGAAGTCGTACTGCTGACTGTACAGAGGTGTGACAGCAGTAAGGTGTTTCCCTCGGACAACCAGCATCTGCAGCGATGCTGCCTTCTCACAAGGAAGGAAGGGGTTAGAAAAGGTTGACCCTAAAAATGTCACACCTCACCTTACCCCACGGATTTCCGTCTCCGGCGGTAAGGCCGTTTGAAGAACGGAGCTAACACATTAAAAACCTCCCACAAAAAGGCCGTGCGCGACCAGCCTCAAGCAGTTGTCCCTTGGCTCTGCGGTCACGCACTCAGGTCGCTAAGACCAACACTAATCCGATTTCCTTTTCAGGTCCCCCAAGAAATACGCTTCCACGGTGTGGGCAACTGGGAAGTGATATCAGCCCTCATACCCGTAACAGCACACGAGACCAAGTTGGTCACATTCAAATCCTTCCTACACCTCCTAATAACTCTCTTATCTCCACGACTAACCCTTCTCACGTCCCTTTATCACCTCGCCCCGCTAGTGCGAACGATTCGAGTACGCGGAATGCTATTCCTGGTCTCCTGAAACCACGCTCTAAACTACACGTAGGAGCTTTCAACGTCCGAACACTGTGCCAAATAGGACAACAGGCTTCCTTAGCTAAGACTTTAGAATCTCGCTCCATCGATGTGTGCTGCGTCTCCGAAACGCGCACACAGGATCCTAGTAGTGTCATCCATTTGATTGCACCATGTCAAAGTAACGAACCAACTCGATTTACGCTTCGTGTATCTGGAAGCCCTGATGCTGCTTCCCGTGGCCTCGCTGGCGTAGGTATAGCATTGAGTCCTAGGGCAGAACTAGCTCTCTTAGACTGGATCCCAGTAGACAGTCGTTTGTGTGCTGTCCGACTAAACGGAACAGTAAGGATTCGAAAAGATAGGGACACTCGTCGTTGCCTCTTCGTCGTCTCTGCCTACTCTCCCACTGACTGCAGCTCAGATGATGTAAAAGATGAGTTTTACAGAAAGCTTTCCGACCTTCTCCGAAAAGCTAGGCGTTCAGATGTAGTAATAGTGGCTGGTGACTTTAATGCTCAAGTAGGTAAACTAAGCGAAAAGGAAAGACACCTGGGTGGGTCTTATGGTGTCGCGGTTCAAAGAACAGATAACGGCGACCGTCTGTTGCAGCTATGCTCAGATAACCGCCTGTTTCTTGCAAACACTAACTTTAAGCATAAGGAAAAACATCTTTTGACATGGCGACCCCCTAATTCGTCTCAACGCTGGACCCAAATAGATCACATCGCTATCAGCCACCGATGGAGGGGCTCGATAGAAGACTGTCGCTCATTCTGGAGCACATGCTTAGACTCAGATCATGCTCTAGTGCGAGCGCGTATCTGTCTACGTCTTACTGGACTTAGGAAACATGCTGCAAGGAAACCCCTTAGGGTCCTACTTAATGATAGTCAAGCTAAGAGTATATTTCAGGAACATCTAGAAAAACAGTTAGGCAGCCATGTAAGTGATACCCACCCCGAGGCAGCATGGAATGACATCCGAAAAGCTGTAGAAACAGCAGTGATGTCTGCAAGTACGGTAAACTATAAGGTTAGGGAGAAACACTGGATCTCAGCAGCATCTACCGCACTGATAGATGCTCGAAAACTCATTCCATCTGGCTCTGAGCATAACGAAGAGCGGAGTCAGCTTAAGCGTAAGCTCACTAGAAGCCTACGCAAAGATCGTGAACAGTGGTGGGTAGCGAAAGCAAGAGAGATGGAAAAGGCAGCGGCAATAGGTAACAGCAGGCAACTGTTCAGACTTGTTAAGGAAACCGGTATTAGGAACCCAACTGTTAGCGAAACAATCTCAGAGAAAGATGGACATATTATTCATTCTCAATCCAGGAGATTGGATCGATGGGCAGAATACTTTAGGGATCAGTTCAACTGGCCTTCAGCCACACTTCGGTTTCCCACGATCCCCAGTCGACCTGAATGGCAAGTTGATGTAAGTCCTCCGACTCTTTACGAAGTTGAAAAAGCTATAGGAAATCTGAAGCGTGGGAGAGCAGCAGGCCCTGACAGGTTTACCCCTGAGATTTTTAAGGATGGCGGTCCAGTATTAGCAGCGAGATTGACTGAGGTCTTAGGTAGAATCTGGGAACTGGACGTAATCCCATCTGACTGGTCTCAATCACTGATTGTACCAGTCTATAAGAAAGGACAAAAGTCCTCCTGTGACAATCACAGAGGAATTAGTTTGACTAATATAGTGTCTAAAATATTAGCTTCAATAATACTTCGACGTCTAACCAAAGCTCGTGAAGAGCAGACTAGAGAAAACCAGGCTGGTTTTCGACCTGGACGTGGTTGTATAGATCAGATATTCACATTACGTCAGGTCCTAGAACATAGACACACATTCAGACGCCCCACAATGGTAGTATTTCTCGACCTTAAGGCGGCATTTGACTCTGTTGATCGTAAGGTTCTATGGCAATGTTTGTCACTGAAAGGAGTACCAAAGAAGTACATCAACCTTATAAAGGCTCTCTACTCGAACACAACTGGTCGAGTGAGAGCTTATGGCGAACTGTCGTCAGAACTGATTACCTCAAGTGGTGTTCGTCAGGGCTGTCCACTCTCTCCATTCTTGTTTAACTTTGTCGTTGACGTGCTTTTAGAAATAACACTTTCCACATTTGACTTTCCAGGAGTTGAACTTCTACCGGGAGATCCACTTATTGACTTAGAATATGCCGATGACATAGTTCTATTTAGTGAAGACGCTGACAGAATGCAGAGTCTGCTCACCACTCTAAGCAACAATGCAGGCATGTTCGGCATGCGATTCTCTACCTCGAAATGCAAAATGTTGCTTCAGGATTGGGTTGCGTCGACACCGGAACTAGTGATAGGGAGTGAAGTAGTTGAGCGTGTCGACCGCTTCACTTATCTCGGAAGTCTCATCAGCCCTTGTGGTTTGGTGTGTGACGAAATCTCAGCACGGATACAAAAGGCTCGACTAGCTTTTGCCAACTTGCGTCATTTGTGGTGTAGGCGAGATATCCGTCTATCAACCAAAGGACGTATTTACTGCGCAGCAGTTCGTTCCGTCCTACTTTATGGCAGTGAAACATGGCCGATAAGAGTAGAGGATATTCGTAGGTTACTAGTATTTGATCATAGATGTCTTCGAAACATTGCTCGTATATCCTGGTACCACCGAGTAAGTATCTCAGTTGTTAGGAAACGGGTACTAGGTAAGGATGGCAAATCAATTGATGAAGTAGTGAAACTCAATCATTTGAGATGGCTGGGACATGTGTTGCGCATACCCGACCACCGACTGCCCCGACGTGCTATGTTTTATGGTGTAGGAGTAGGTTGGAAGAAAGCTAGGGGCGGCCAGACCAAAACATGGCAGAAATCCATGAAGTCACTGACAAGTGGACTGAGTCATGTTGGTAGGTGTAGACTACCTGGTTGGGGACCGCGAGACGAAAGCAACCGATGGTTAGAGACCTTGAATGACATGGCTCAAAATCGTTTGCAATGGCGCAGGTGCATCCACTCTTTGTGTTCTCTCAAACTCTAATCTTCTGAATTCTTCATGTCCTTTATTTTCTTTCCCAATTTATTCCACTGGACTATACTCCTTTAATAACATCATCAAACCTTAATGTCCCCTATCTCTACTTATACTTTCAGTACCTCTACCACTATGGGATTTGAATCGATAACTGAATCTGTGTGCTAATGTGGTATGGCAACTCGAACTGATGTACGTACGTATGTACGAAGTTCCACGTTGTTACTGACTGACTGACTGAAATCAACACCCGGGTGACTTGCTTGAATATCTGGGCTACCTGTTCTTGCCAGCAAATTATCCGTTTCCTTGTTTGTTTTAACACTATTATGTTAATTAATGGTATAACCTATTCAGGCGTGTTTATGAAAAGTTTACAACCTATCGCTGTACAATTTACAAAAATTTACAATTGGAGACATCGTGATAGCTGATGATATGCATCGGAAAGAATGTACATTATTCAGATATTAATTCCTGGACTGCTAATATCTAACTGATGATCGTTCAATACTTATCGTCAAGATCGATCAAGAAATAAGAAACGGAAACTTGTTGAAATATCTTGTGCTGAAAATTCAACATTCTACCAAAATATAATATTGAATAAAGATAATAATAATAACTATTATTATTATTATGATTATTATTATTATTATCATTATTATTATTACTATTATTATTATTATCGGAGTGCAATTGTAATCATTAGTGTATACATATCAGTTGTGGTATTTTGTTCTTGTTTAAAGATAGTAAGATTTATTCATACATGTCTTCCCTATTGAAATGAGAATCAAAAATTCTTTCAATAATAATAATAATAATAATAACATAATCTAATCAAGGTGAAACAGTCGAAAATTAGTTACATTTTGTAATTTACTTAAATTGATGTTACATGTTTTCTTAGTGAAAGTCAACTTTTTGAAATTCATTATTAATGTTAAGACTTTTTTTTAAAACCCTAATTACACTTATCTCTCAGTGCTTGAAGTCCCTAACTTCTAGTCTGAACCATGTTCGTAGGTGTAGACTACTTGGTTGGGGTCCGCATGACTATCATAACTAATGGTTGGAGACTCTTGATGACATGGCTCAAAATCGATCACAATGGCGTAGGTGTATACACTCTCTATCTTCCCTTTAAACTATGCGATTAAAATCGCTTCATATCTTTCTTTCTATCAAATAATTCTTTCTTCGTGTACTATATCCTTATATGCAATCTTTGTTTTATATATTATTACCACTGAATTAACTACTTCTATCAATCCGGTGTTCATCTTGTTGTGGTATGGAAACTTGGACCGATGCATATATATGCCTCGTCCTACGTTGTAGCTGACTGACTGACTGATTAATCAATTAATTTGTTTTTTTTTGTTGCTTTTTTTAATCAGTTGGCTTGCAGCAATTGGTCTAAGTCTAGTAGCAATATCTTTTCCGCTTGGAATTACAGCAACCTGTTTATTGAATACATTATTTCGTATTAAACGTTATGTTGAATATACTGAAGCACGTAAACAAATGTTAGAAAGTCAGGTATGTTCTATGCATACATATATATCTGTATATAAAGTAGATATGGTTACTATGTAAACATCTACTTAACTAATTTGTATTATTTTTTATTTTATACATTAATTTTGTATGATTAAGTATATATATTGATTTATTGGATGTATTATTGTTCAAATAAAGCAAAAGACAAAGAAGTTAACACTCAATGTACCCACATTTACAAGAAAATATTAATGTCAAGTCAATCAATGAAATAAAATCTCTTACTGATAGAAATAACTCAATATTATACAGAATTGCCACCATCCATCTCTGCTTATAAAGCTTGTGACAAGTAAAAAAAACAACACCATGTGAATTTGAACTTCACTTTATTGCACAAGCAAGTGGCTATCATGACTCAGCAGCTAAGTGGATAATGCGATGGCATTTGAAGCGAACGGTACTGGGTTCGAGTCCCGGAGTGAATATCAACTGTGAGATGCAGTTACATCTAGTTGACGAGTCCCAAATAGGACGAAACGCGCATCAAACTGGATTCCACTATATGTCTTTTCTTGAAAAGCTTGTGACTTAAGGCTATATCGAGGCAATCAGCACAGGATGCACATATGTCAATAAGAGACTGATCAATTGCAGTCTCAAATAAAACGGGTAAGATACAAGTAAAAAATAACACCAAGTGAATTGTAAAAATTTGTTTATAGAAAACTTTGCTTTGTCAAAAAGTTGACTTATCATAGTGTTTATTTCAATTACACATTCCTGTCAACCTATTTGGCAAAAGTATACGTAAGTTATTACAAGTAACAGCTGTCATATTGAATGCACAGAATATTCCATTTAGAAAAAAATCAACATAAAAGTTAGTAAATGATGATTTGTATAGATGTAACTGATTTATTCAAAAGAACAAAAATAAAGAGAATTCAGCGAAGAAAATTTTCTTTTCGACGAAACTATTTACTTAAGCTGTACATTCGTGAGTCAATTGAAGTTAGACCACCATGGAAAACCTGGAAGCACTGGGCGGCCGTTTCCTCTTAGTGTTGGACTCCTCAGCAGTGCGCATCCACGATCCTGCTCCACAAGATTCAATTGACTCATGAATTCAACTATAAAATTACTAAAATCTCCATAAAACCCCTTCTGTACATTCCTATTTATAGTTATATGGTAAATATATGAGTCTACATAAAGATAGAAAAGATTGCATCGTAAATCGATCCGAGACTCTTATTATCAACTGAGGTTACGCAATAATCAAAAAGTAATGAAGGAATATAAGGATGAAAATGATTTACGGGCCAGGTAATTGTCCAATTACTAGAATGGGTTTTGTGGAGAATCGGTAATTTCAATAGTTGAAATCATGAATCACTTGAAGCCAAACCACCATGGAAAACCTGGAGGCACTAGACGGCCATTTCGTCCTAGTGTGGGACTTCTCGGCAGTGTGCATCCACGATCCCGCCCCCCGCGGGATTCGAACCCAGGACCTATCAGTCTCGCGCCAGGCGCTTAACCAACTAGACCACTGAGCCGGCATCCAACGGTGTTAATGTCTAACTTCAACCAATCCGCGAAGTTGCGCCACCGTCACCATTGTCTTCAGTGAGCTGATATCTCACAACAGACCTGGTTGAACTCCACTGGTCACGGCTTCTCACTAGAACTCCAGGAGTATCTCTTGAAGTCAGTCACTAGTGAGCAGATGATTATTACTAGAATGGGTTTTGTGGACAGTGGCGCAACTTCGTGGATTGGTTGAAGTTATACATTAACAACGTTGGATGCCGGCCAGCTCAGTGGTCTAATGGTTGAGCGCTCGAGCGCAAGACTGACAGTTCCTGGGTCGGAATCTCGCGAGGAGCAGGATCGTGGCTGCGCACTGCTGAGGAGTCCCATACTAGGACGAAACGGCCGTCCAGTGCTCAAAGGTTTTCCATGGTGGTCTAGCTTCAATTGAATCATGATTTCAACTAGTAAAATTTCTAAAATCTCCACAAAACCCCTTCTGAAGGCAATAATAATCAAATAAAAATGAAGAAATGAAGGAAAAAAAAATAAAATATACCCTTAAAGGGAATTAAGGCCAAGGATGGTTAAAAGGTTGGACAAATCAGTTTGAGTTCGTGAATTGCCAATGCCTCAGCAGTGCATAAAATATTGATTTAACTTCCCTTCGATCCAATCCCTTTGATTGTGTAGATTACTTTAAAAGAAGACTCATTTTCAAGCGATATGTTCATAGTTAATTAAATGCTTCTGTATGAAACTAGTAATTATGAATAAACAGCTTAATTAAATGATTTCGTCGAAATGAAGACGTTCTTCGCTGAATTCTCTTTATTCAAAAGATTTTTAAAAGTGTGTTACTTGATTTTGATTGCTGGATAATAATCAAAATGATTAGGTTAATATGCCATTGATGAGACAGTGATATAATATCTCCTTCATTCTTATTTAAATTTTCACTCACCACTTATTTCCATGTGCCTTATTTTAGTTACTATAACACAATAGTTATGGATTTATAACCGTAGATCTTGTATAGAAAACAATCATTTTCTCAGTTTCAGTTGCCATATGTGTATTCTGTGCATTCTGCCTAGATACTTCCAATATATTACAAATTTTGTATAGAACAGATGAAATATAGATAACAGTGGATAATCTAAATCATTAAAAATTACTTCATGATTCATATATGTTGCACAAGTGAGTGGCTCTCTGAACTCAGTAGTTAAGGTGATCATGCGTTCAATGTTTAAAGTTAAAGGTACTAAGCTCGAATATCAGATTAAGTATCAACTCTAAGATGCAGGTAAATCTAGTAGATGAGTCCTAAATAGGAAAAAAATAATGCTGATTCTGAATTCAACTGCTAACCATATTCAATCTATTCAAATATTTCTTATTTTGGATAGAAAAGATTCATTTAATAATTTTTTAGATTCTGATTAAGTATTTTAATCCTGTTTGAATATAAAATGTTTGGATGTGATATGCTCCTAGTTTTAAAGATTTTGAATACCATTTTATGTAAAGAATCAAAACTAAAATTTGTTATAACTTGTTAGTTGAATGCTTACTTGTTATATCTAGTCGTCGCTGATTGTGTCGGAAACACTTATCAATTATACTCGGAACGAGGGACCTCCACAATTCCCAAGACGTGAAAGTAAAAATACAAAGACTGGTATAAGTGAAGATTTATTAACCCCCAAAACACGACAACGATGACGACGATTCTAGTCGAAAACATACTCATTTATATATTGATTGTACACCCATTTTGATTAATACTTAGGATAACAAATCACATATTGAGCATAGTTCATGTCAATGAAATACAAGAATATCATATATTATACGGAAGAAAATATCATACTTGGAAAACAGTAACAAATACTACATTGAGTAATCACTACATTGAATCAAGACGGAAGTAACGATGAATAAAACTCATAATGAGTAAATCAATCGAATTTTGACTTTTCTTTCCATCATATCGATTTTTTTATGAGTATTGACCAGCAATGATTAACACTTTTCTTGTCTTGTAAACCGTAAGATATTTCTTCTACTCACACTTGGATAGTGACTAGCAGTGGAATTCAGTTTGATGAGCGTTTCGTCCTATTTGGGACTCGTCAACTGGATGTACCTGCATCTCAGAGTTGATGTCCACTCTGGGACTCGAACCCAGTACCGTCCGCTTCAAACGCCATCGTGTTATCCACTTAGCTACTGAGTCCTGATAGCTACTTGCTTGTGCAATGGGGTGAAGTATAATTCACTTGATATTGTTTTACTTGGATCTTCCCATTGATGTTTAGGACTGAAATTGATTAGTCTCTTATTGGCATATGTTCATACTATGCGTATTGCCTGGTTCTTGCCTTAATTTACAAGCATTATAGGCAAGGATGGATTTGTAATATTGTATTTTACACAATTAACTAATATCATTTGATCAGTAAATTGGATCAGTCCAGTGTATTATTAATCTAGTACACTTAACGCAAATAGATATCGTCAGAAGAATGCATAGAAGAAAACAGTTGTAAAAGAGTATTAAAAAATTGACTCCCTGTACTCATTTATCATTTCAAAGTCAATTGGTATATAAAATATTATAAACTAGTCATTCTACTAGAAGATGCTGATTATATATCTAGCCAGCAATGCAGACGACATATCATTGTCTGGATCAGAATAAAAAAGCATAAAATCCGTTTGCTTCCTATACACCATCCATTTTGCCAATCAAAGCTTCTATTTATTTGTTTATTAGTTTCATTTGTCTCTTTTTACTAAGAAAGTGCAAAGAAAGCTTGTGTATAGGCAATTACTTAGTAAAATCATCAGTCAGTCAGTCAGCTACAACGTAGGACCAGGCACATATGTGCATCGGTCCAATTTGCCATACCTTGTTAACACAACAAGATGAACACCGGATTGATAGAAGTAGTTAATTCAGTGGTAATAATATATAAAACAAAGATCGCATATAAGGATATAGTACACGAAGAAAGAATTAGCCGGTAGAAAGAACGATATGAAGCGATTTTAATCTCATAGTTTAAAGGGAAGATAGAGAGTGTATACACCTACGCCATTGTGATTGACTCAGAGTCTTCAACCATTGGATACGATAATCTCGCGGACTTCCATCAATTAGTCTGCACCTTCCACCCACATTGATTCAGACTGGAGGTTAATGACTTTACAGATTGATACCACTCTATGGTTTGACCTCCCCTAACTTTCTTCCAAACATCCCCAACACGAGTTAGCATTGTGCATCTTATGTTATCTTATAAGATCATAAAATATATCTAATCACTTTTAGTTTATGATAACAATAAACTTTAAACTAAACCGTCTATTTATAAAAGTTTGTAATTCTAACAGTTTCTAAATGAACAAATAATTTTTTAAAAAAATTTTGATTTTTTGTTTATCTGTTTGTTTTTCAGGTTACTGAAACTAAACCGGATCAAATTATTTATTAGTAGTGATAACATTGATCTACAAGATATAAAATAAATCAAAAAGTCTCCTTGTGTATATAAAATATTCAATATAGAAATAGTTATTATAGTTCAATTATGAATAACTTCAAATTATTCTATAATAAAGGAGATCAATTCTTACATTACAATATTTAAATAGTGTAAGTGATAAATATTTGAAACGTTAGCAACAAAACATTTTTTTTTCTTCTTATATTATCATAATATAATAATTTTATGATATTAGCAACTTCTTGATACCTTTTCAAGAGAGTTATGTTCTTTGAACTGAATGATGTTGATTTTTTTTCTTTTCGTAAAACTTTCATTATTCTTCTAAGTAATATCATCTTGGGGAATGCTTTAAAAAGAACTGATCTTTTCAAATTTTTCACATCAATTACTGATTAGTAGATTGTTTTGTTGATCTTAATTTTGATTGATTACTGTTTACTCTTGTTTGTTTATTTCACTGTCTTTATATTATTTCGATAGTCTTCAGTCAATTAGTCAGTCAGTAAGTAACAACGTAGAACTTTGTACGTACGTACATCAATTCAAGTTGTCATATCACATGAGCACAGAGATTCAGTTGTCGATTCAAATCCCGAAGTAGTAGAGATAGTAAGAGTACAAAAAGTAATCCGAAAGATTAGGGTTTAAAGATGTTTTTCAAGGTGTATAATCCAGTGAGATAAATTTGGATAGAAAAATAAAGGGACTTGAAGAATTCAAAAAATTAGAATTTGGGAGAACACAAAGAGTGGATGCACATGCGCCATTGCAAATGATTTTGAGTCATGTCATTCAACGTCTCCAACCATCGGTTTCTATCGTCTCGCGGATCTCAACCAGGTAGTCTACACTTACCAACATGGCTCAGTCCACTTGTTAGTGACTTCATGGATTGTGCCATGTTTTGGTGTGGCCGCTCCTAGATTTCTTTTAACCTACTCCTACACCATAAAACATCGCACGTCAGGGTAGTCGGTGGTTGGGCATGCGTAACACATGTCTCAGCCTCAACTAATGAAGTTTCACTACTTCATCAATTGATTTGTCATCCTTACCTAGTACCCGTTTCCTAACAACTGAGTTACTTGCTCGGTGGTCCCAGGGTATACGAGCATTGTTTTAATCATTGATCTTATGACCGTCCGTGACATATTTTAATGTTTGGTAAACTGTGAAGATTCTTTAAACATTTAATACAATAAGTAATATTTCCGGAAAAAAAAGCAGTATTACAGATCAAGTTTTACATGTTTTAAACAGAGTATTGTTATCAACTAGACTCTATGTTCAGCAGTATTACAGAAGATGCTTGTAGATTTAATAAATGCTACAGAATTCTTTTCGGCGAGACTATAATTTATGTACCAACCAACCAGGTATAATAAAACAGGTCTCGGATTTTGCTGTGAAATCCACTCATCTATTTGGATAAATAGAGTCTTGACATTATGGCTGATGTCAGTTCGTGATGAAAACACTAAATCTAATTCCTAACTATCAACTGTATGTCATAACCGTTATTCTTCAAACTGCTTTATAACCCTCATTTAGCCCTAGTAAGTAGGTAGACACTCTCAAGGTCATTTTAGCATCGCTCAAAGGTTCTCCATAAATTATAGTCTCACCAGTTTTTCTACTGAACACTGTACAGAAGTCTATATTTCAAGAAAAGATATTCACTAGAACGAGATACTAATCAATCCATTAATAACTGATAATGTCATTATTTCATTTAAACTTCTCCGTGTCAATGAACTACCATTTCAAACACTACAATTAACCTGTTCTGTGTTTGAGGCATTTGCCAACCGGAAATAATGGAAGATAGTTACCCATTATCGTGGATTCATTGAATTGAGGCATTAACATTGTTGGATGCCGACTTAGTGGTTTAGAGGTTAAGCGTTCATGTACTAAACCGAAGGTCATGAATTCAACTTCCACGTGCAGGATTGTGATTGCCCACTGCTGAAGGGTTCCATACTAGGATGAAACAGATGTCCAGTTCTTTCAGATTCTCAATGGTGGTCTAACACTAACCGATCTATGATTTCAATGAAATTCAATAGTCTCCACAATCCTCTATTAATAATATCATAAAATTGATCGGTGATATAAAGGTTCTGTTAACAGGAGTAACAATGGCTAATATTCTACAACTGTATATCCAAATAGTAATTCAAAAAGTGACTAGATTTAAAGCAAATGCATCGTTTAGAACTAAAACATGCAAATTTAGGATCGTTTATAAGATGAAATAAAATTGTGACTATTTAGAATAAATGTCAGTGTATTACTTTACCTGGTCTACGGTTTCAATAAGATATTGAGAAATTGAACTATTCTTGGGTACAGACCTTATAGGGTGTATTCATCGAACCTGTAATAGATTCTCGCTTATCTTTTCTACCGTTCTAACCACTTTTATAAGTAAATATCAGTCGATTCACAAAGTCGATGGTTTTGTCAACATGCGAGTGTAGATAAAGGGTAATTTATTTATTTATTTGAACACATAAATATTGGTACAGGGGGGCACCAAATATATATGCGCCACACAAAACAATGATAATTTGAAGAGAAGGAGAAAAGAGAAAAAAAATGTAATGAACGTGGAAAATTATTAAAAAAAAGGGAGAGAGAGAACAATGGTGGGGGAAACGGAAAGGTACAATCAGAAGAGATCTTTCAGTTAAGGAAGATACAACCACTTTTAATGAAGAGAGTAAGAGGTTACAGCACGATCGCCACTGGCTTCTATTCTGAGCCATATCTGATAACGTCTCTAGCCACTGCGTTACACCGTCTCTCGGACCCCAACCAGGGAGTCGTGAAGGACCAACAGAAGCTAGCCCTTTGCAGCTTTCTTTCATACCACGACACCATGTCATATACTGACCACCTCTCTGCTTTTTCCAACCAGTTCCAGAGTCGGGTAATAAGATCAGTTGGATATATAAGAGTTAACCACTAGAGAATGTATAGCTTCACTTGAGCTTAAACACAATATCCTACCGATATCTGAGAACCAGATTAGATTATATATTAGTTAGTTTACAAAAATTACAAGCTGTCAACGTATATAGACGCCCAAGCAGAGATCAATAGTGAAAGTAATTTACAATACAATTTAATCTCATATTTTTAGTATAGTACCGATCTTTGCTTCTAAGCCAATCAACCAATTACTTCCACTGATATTTCAGTAAATTAGAATAAGCGGCTGTCAACCTGTAACTGAGATAAAGAACATACTGTACATTTGAAATAGATCAAACATATGACAGATTTAAACTAGTACGTTGTTTGATCTTACAATCGTTGTTTTTGAGGTGCCACTATTACTTGTATGTTAAATAGTATCTTATTCATTTTTTAACTTCGTTAATGTAAATAGAGTTTGTCCAGCCTAATTTAAATGGATAATTTCCTCCTTATTCAATTCTACCGTTCAGTGCTTTTTGTAAGTTCCTTCATCTCAAATATGAATTTGTAACATGATCTAATATACATTTATGAATTCTTCAAAGGAACAGATTTTTAAATTGTACTGGTGACCGTTTGTTACGGCCTTTATTATAACTTGTGTGATTATTGATTAAATTCAACGTATGCCTCTAGACTTGATTATCTTCTTGATATATGTTGTCGACTTTTCCTGAAATCTACGTCGCCCCTGATATGTTTTGTTGTTTGAATGCTTCTTGTTATATATAGTCGTCGCTGTTTGTTATGTCGGAAACACTTATCAGTTATACTCGGAACGAGGGACCTCCACAATTCCCAAGACGTGAAAGTAAAAATACAAAGACTGGTATAAGTGAAGATTTATTAACCCCCAAAACACGACAACGATGACGACGATTCTAGTCGAAAATATACTCATTTATATATTGATTGTACACCCATTTTGATTAATAATTCGGATGAAATCACATATTCAGTTATAACAAATCACATACTAAGAATAGTTCATGTCCATTGAATACAAGAATACCTTGCTTTATACAAAAGTAAATATCATACATGGAAAACAGTAACAAATACTATATTGAGTAATCAATAGATTGAATCAAAACGGAAGTAATCTTGAACCAGAAATCATAATGAGTAAATCAATGGAATTTTGACTTTTCTTCCTGTCATATCACTTCTAACTTACTTGTGCCAAAGTGATCGATGAACAATAACACAAATCTTAATGCCTTAAACTTTTCCCAGTTCAGTATTCTATTAAAAGATCAAGTCAGCAAGTAGATGCCTTATCTAATGTGTAACCGTTTCATAAAGTAAATTTCTGATCATACACTAACATAAATAGGAAGGTACAATATGTTCATGGCTACACTTTATATGTAAAAGGGGAATCAAGTGAAACATCTGTAATTGGATTAACATTAATCTGAATAAGGTAGAAACATACAACATCGGTTTATGAGCTAAGCGAAACATAACAGTTAAAAGAGTATTGAAGTGAGATATTCCAGTTGTCTTATAATCAAACAATAAGAATGTAAACCAAAAATGTTAATAAACATTACATAATTTATGACTTCTTCAATATTCATTTAATCATTATAATATTAAATGTGGGGTTATTTATAGAATGTCAAAATGACATTTTACCCGCTTTATTTAAACTTGTATTCATTTATTTTTAAATGATATAACCAATATTAATCATAAGATATAAACGCTGTCATAGTTGGATTTGTTTTAGTAGGAACTGTATGTTTTCGAACTATTCAATTGTATGATTCTAAGGTGGTGATGAAAATTTGTAACTCTACCATCTCCGAATCATATGAAAGTAATACGCTTCTCGTTGTTCGAAAATTGTATTAACACAAATTAGCCTAGATACTAATTTAAGTTTCATTCTAATCGTATCTCAATGACTTTCAAAAGCTATCAGATACAAAATAGAAATGTGTTTCAATATAATTTAACCCATTTTTTTTTAAAAAAAAATCTATTATCTAAATCATTTTATAGCATTGTCTCATTGGATTAAACTTTAACCGATTTCAAGTTAGACATGCATTGTCAAACTGATTTATTGTAGTTGTATTGAATGAAAAAATACCCTAACATGTATGTAACTTATTTTCTAGATTGAATTACATCAAAATAATACACCAATCAAGTTTAATTTATACTCATGTCTAAATATATTGTC